ACGCGATGTCGCCGCCAATGCCGCTGCCAGACGATTTGCCAGAGGACTTGCCGCCGCTGGATGCGCGTCGCTGAAGCTCCTGGAGCTCGAGCTCGCGGCTGAAAAGGCTTTCGATGAACTGGAGGCCCTGCGAGAGAGCCGCGTTCGCAGCTCCGCTGGCGACACCGCTGGCGACCTGTCCACCAATACCGCTGCCAGACTTGCCCGACGATTTGGCACGCTCCTGGAGCTCGAGCTCGCGGCTGAAGAGCCCCTCGATGAATTGGATGCCCTGGGTGACAGCCGCGTTCGTAGCGCCTCCAGCGACAGAAGACAAAACGTCTCCACCAATACCACTGCCGGACGACTTGCCCGAAGACTTGCCGCCGCTGGATGCGCGTTCCTGAAGCTCGAGCTCGCGGCTGAAGAGACCCTCGAGGAATTGGATGCCCTGTGTCACGGCAGCGTTGGCGGCACCGCCGGCAACAGAAGACGCGATGTCTCCACCGATACCGCTGCCAGACGATTTGCCAGAGGACTTGCCGGTGCTGGAGCTTTTTCCGCCGGATGAGGCGCGCGATTCGAGGCTACAATAGAATGTGTCAGGACTGGAGCCGCGTGGACGTATAGGAAAGCAACTTACGGAACAGCGAGGGCGGGGGCGAGTGCGCTGAGGGCGACAGCCACGACGAGGATGGTGTTCGAGGTGTGGACCATTGTAAATTAGTGGTGGTGGTGGTGGTAGAGGGTTGGATTAAGTTTCGTGGGGGAGATGGGTCAAGGAAAGACGGGGCGTAAAGATCGTATGTGGCTGAGGGAAAGGTAACAACTCAAGTACACAGTACTGAGCGGAATGAGAAGTCGAATGCGAAAAGTCGTCGAAGTGAGCGCTGCTGGGGAATGCAGAGTGCATTTCGTCAAGACTTTATACTGCGTACATACCGAGAAAGCGGGACGTTTCAGAGCGAGGCTCCGGGACGGGGTGTTTCGTCGGTGTTTTGTCGTGACGAGACTAGTGCAGCCGCAAGGGGCAGGGGTTTGAGAATATACACCGGAGAGCCCCGCGCACGCTGAATATCAAGACATTTTGCATGGTCGTGCAGTTAACTTCGAGGCGCAACCACCTAGGCCAAGCAAATGACTTTATTTGCTACTACCTTAGATATGCTGTTCAGAGAGCGTGTCAGCGACAGTAAAGGTGGACTGTATTCCTGCTCACCTAAGGATGGGTATTCAGTGTTTGCATTCTAGAACTCCAGGACCAGGACCGGGACACCGAGAACATCGGCGCCGGTATACATGGCATGCTGTGCAGGACAGCCAAGAGCCGCCGAAACCGACGACAACGCGTGCCTCACGAGCACGGGCAAAGCTATTCTGAAACGGCCACATATAGACTCAGCACAGCACTGAACATACACAGGCAGCCCAAGTCGGAGAAATCGACGCCTGGGAGTTGCCTGGGAGCTCCGAGCAATATATATACACCAGCCCCTGCACGATCACCGGTCACCCCATCCTCCACGCGGGTAGGCAGCTCTAGCCAGCTCGACATACTCCGGGTAGCTACAGCTGTACGCGAGGGAGCACGCAAGACGAAGAGGATTCAGACGAAAGAACTTCAAAAATAAAAAGAGTGCGGGCCGGCGCCGCGTCGGGATGCTGTGCAGTAACGTCGCTGTGGGGCGCGACAGGGCGGGACGCAGCGCCGTCGTGAGCTCGAGGTACCATGGAATTCGGGCTGCTTTCCATGGTCTTCAAGAGCTGTAGTGAGGTCGTCGGTGAAGGTGTAACTGGCGAGCGACATCAAATGCGCAATGTTACGTCGATGAGGTAGATTTAAATTTGTGGTGGTCCGAGACTCGAGAGACTCGGCAGTCTCACCTACAGGCTCTTACCACACAAGTCTTACGAATGTACACGCCCAACGTTTCAAAACGAACAAGTGCATTACGAGTCAAGTACGGACGGAGTTGTTAAATAATCGCACACCACAATGTAAGTAAAGTAAGCCCAATGTCCCTAAAACCCATGCGTGAATATAAAGAAACCTAGTTCAGCTCGTTGAGCTCGAGCTCACGGCTGAACAAACCCTCGATGGCCTGGATGCCCTGGGTGAGTGCGGCGTTCGCAGCTCCACCGGCAACCCCGCTGGCAACCTGTCCACCGAGCCCACTGCCGAGCTTGCCTAGGGACAAGGCGCGCTCTTCGATCTCCTCACGGCTGAAGAGGCCCTCGACGAATTGAATGCCCTGGGTGAGCGCAGCGTTGGCGGCGCCTCCAGCGACGGCACTAGCGATGTCGCTGCCAATGCCGCTGCCGGAAGACTTGCCAGTGGATTTGCCAGCCGACGATTTCGCCGCAGCCGCACGCTCCTCGAGCTCCCGGCTGAAGAGCCCCTCGATGAGCTGGATGCCCTGCGTAAGCGCAGCGTTTGCGGCTCCGCCTGCAACACCGCTGGCGACCTGTCCACCGAGACCACCGGCGAGTTTGCCGAGGGACAGAGCGCGCTCCTCGATCTCCTCACGGCTGAAGAGGCTCTCGATATACTGGATGCCCTGAGTCACGGCGGCGTTGGCAGCGCCTCCAGCAGCAGCGCTGGCGATGTCACCACCGATGCCGCTGCCAGTCGACTTGCCAGTGGACTTGCCTGCCGAAGACGACGACTTGCCGGCGGCGGCGGCGCGCTCCTCGAGCTCGCGGCTGAAAAGACCCTCGACGAACTGGATGCCCTGAGTAAGAGCTGCGTTGGCGGCGCCTCCAGCGACGGCGCTGGCGATGTCGCTGCCAATGCCACTGCCGGTCGACTTGCCGGTCGACTTGCCCGCCGACGAAGACTTGCCAGCAGCCGCTGCGCGCTCCTGGAGTTCGAGCTCACGGCTGAAGAGACCCTCGAGGGCCTGGATACCCTGAGTGATTGCCGCGTTCGCAGCTCCGCCCGCAACACCGCTAGCGACCTGTCCACCGAGTCCGCCCGCAAGCTTGCCGAGGGACAAAGCGCGCTCCTCGATCTCCTCACGGCTGAAAAGACCCTCGACGAACTGGATGCCCTGGGTGAGCGCCGCGTTGGCCGCGCCGCCGGCGACGGCACTGGCGATGTCGCTGCCAATGCCACTGCCAGCAGATTTGCCAGTGGACTTGCCCGCCGATGACTTCGCCGCAGCCGCGCGCTCCTGGAGCTCGAGCTCACGGCTGAAAAGGCTCTCGATGTACTGGATGCCCTGAGTCACCGCAGCGTTGGCGGCTCCACCGGCGGCAGCACTGGCGATGTCGCCACCGATGCCGCTGCCAGTAGATTTGCCGGTCGACTTGCCCGCCGACGACGAGGTCTTGCCTGCGGAGGACGACTTGCCGGCGGCTGCCGCTGCGCGCTGCTGGAGTTCAAGCTCACGGCTGAAGAGCCCCTCGAGGGCCTGGATACCCTGGGTGAGCGCAGCGTTTGCGGCTCCGCCGGCAACACCGCTGGCGACCTGTCCACCGAGCCCACTGCCGAGCTTGCCGAGGGACAAGGCGCGCTCCTCGATCTCCTCACGGCTGAAGAGGCCTTCGACGAACTGGATGCCCTGAGTGAGAGCCGCGTTGGCCGCGCCACCGGCGACGGCACTGGCGATGTCGCTGCCAATGCCACTGCCGGCAGATTTGCCAGTGGACTTGCCCGCCGACGAGGACTTGCCGGCGGCCGCTGCGCGCTCCTGGAGCTCGAGCTCGCGGCTGAAGAGACCCTCGACGAATTGAATGCCCTGAGTAAGAGCTGCGTTGGCGGCACCGCCGGCGACGGCGCTCGCGATGTCGCTGCCGATACCACTGCCGGCCGATTTGCCAGTAGATTTGCCCGCGCTGGAGCTCTTTCCGGCGGATGAGGCGCGCGCTTCAAGACTAGAAGATGATATGTTAGTGCGACGCCGATAAGGCTGTAGGGGACGCGACTTACGGAGCGGCGAGAGTGGGGGCGATTGCGCTGAGAGCGACGGCCGCGACGAGGATGGTGTTCGAAGTGTGGACCATTTTGATTATTGATAGAAGGTCGGATTAGGTTTCGTGGGGGAGATGAGATGGGTTAAGGAAAGACGGGACGTAAGGATCGTGTGTAGGTGTGGCTGTGAGAAAAGTAACAACTCAAGTACACAGTACCGAGCGGAATGAGAAGTCGAATGCGAAGAGTCGTTAAGGTGAGCGCTGCTGGGGAATATTGAGTGCATTTCGTCGAGACTTTATACTGCGCGCAGAGGGGGCCAAGCGTTTCAGAGCGCGCATCCAGGATGAGACTAGTTCAGCCGCAAGGGGTAATCACCATAGGGCTTGAGGGTATACAGCCTCGCGCACGCTGGATATCAGGAAATTTTTTTCTTGGGCGCTGCGCCAAGCATTCGACTTTCCAGAAACCAGACGCCACCACCTGGGCGAAGCAGATGACTCTCTCGCTATGTACTAGCTCAGATATGCTGCTCAGCGAGCGTGTTAGCGAGAGCGAACGTCGACAAAATTCATATTCCTGCTCACCTGAGGACGGTATCTGCTAAGTTATCCAGGTACCAGGACCGAGACGATCGACAGTACACCGCATCGATCGGGCCCGCGGCCGGTAGACTTGGGAGGCTGTGCTATGCAATCGAGCTCAGCCGACGCTAGTGCAAAAATCGCCAAGCTCGACAACGCGACGCGTGCCTCCTCGCGAGCACAGAGGTCCGGACTCTGCGCCAAGCAGGGACACTGTGAAACGATCATACAGAACACAGCACCGAGCATGCAGAGGCAGCCTAAGGAGAAAGCAACACCTAGGAGCAGCATGTGGGGCTCGACAGGGTCGGGCGCGCAAGGGATGCCATTGGGCTGCCAGGGGACAGGGTTGTCTATGAGGTCGTTTGCTGGAGGAGGTGGCGACGGGTTTGGTGGAACGCAGCAGCGTGCGATCTGGTAGGACATCATGATGTCGTGGTGGGCTCTGACAAGAGAGAGCCCGAGTCAGGGCAGTCAAAATACTCTGTGTCTTTCACAGCACACCAAAACCATGTCTACGTAATGCCACCTTGGCGTAGTGGTAGCGCGTCGCTCTTGTACTTTGCGTGCTAAGCGAAGGTCATTCGTTCGATCCGGGTAGGTGGCATCTTTTTGCTCTTTTGCCCTCTGCGACAACTCTGCGAGCTATACACAACCAAGGAAAACAGCGGCATGGTAACAGGAGCCCGCGAGACCCGCCAGGGACGTTCCATTTGAGCATGCGAACTACGCATATGTTTGGGAGTGCAAGCTCTGCGTGGATGTATCTCTTGTGTCGCGCGGCGTCCTCAATTAAGGCTCCCGCCCAGGCGGAAGAGCCCTGACCTTTGCGACCTCATCGCGTCGGGACGACAAACAGAAAACCACATTGATTCACTTCGGGCGTAGCAGAACGAGAAACAAGTACACGCGTACAGGCAGTAACACGAACATCTGGTCTTCGACTCCATGTCAATCGTTAGCGCTCAACATCTAGCGCAATAAATCAGCGAAGGACCAACAAAAGTGAGTTGGGACGGCACCTAGGCGCTTAACCTTTGAGGGTGTAATGCCCGTCCACCGTTTTGTCGCCCTGCAGAGCGCCCGGGGGGCTACCGCGCCCTTCCCAGTGCACGGGCACGTTACCCTCGTCATACGGCGTCAGCGTTAAGTACACCGTGCCGTGGGCGCTACCAGTGAACAACGCGAACGTCCCAGGCGAGTACGGCCCGCGGATTGGCCGCCCAACGATGGTAGACTGTTCGTGCGAGCCCGCCACGGACTCTCTGGCGCTGCCTTCGAGGTTCGCGATGGTCCAGAACAGCTTGCCGTTTTCGATGCGGATGTGGAGCTCTTGATCATTGCTGTTTTCTGCACGGACGGGAGGGAGTGTGAGTTTGCGATACTCATGTTGGGGGATGTATGGAGGACACTTACGTGCTGACATGGTGTAGGATGGTAGACTTGGAGTTGCAAGATAACGCGTTTTTTCCTGCTGAAGGGAATCAAAGAGAAAACGATGAGGAGAGAAGGACGGAGGGCGTACGATTCTCTGAAGTGTAGGCGGAACCTGGGGTTCTTTGGGCTTTGGATCTACCCTTTTATACCGCAGAGAAATTCGATTTACCGGGGGGCGTAGTTCGTTTCGATTGAGACCCGAGAAGACGAGCCCATAATGGTCGTGAACAGGTCCCGGCGAGAAAGGTCAAGTATATACGACACAGGATCATCGCGACGGTCCTGGGCAGTAAAACGCTTGAAGCGTCCAGGGCCCTCGGGTGGTACGTGGGGACCAGCGCTAGCGACTAACCACAAATGCTCGACATTCAATGCACTGACCAGCACACGAGGGTACTCAATTGTGGTTACCCGATGTGCTGCGAGGCGTACGGCAAAGAAAGCGCTCCGAGTTGACGTACGCGCGTGTCTGCAGCTGGGCGGCTCGACATTCAGGGCTGAATCATCGACCGAGCAGGCAGCCGGCACACTGCATCGAGCGACGAGGGATGAACGATACAATATCGATGTCGTGAATGGTACTCGCTGGACTCACCTCAACCACATTGACTTGCCGCGAGTTGATACACTCGCCCTAGGGCCTAGGCGCAAGCAGGTATACTAACTAAGTCGGAGGCGTCCTTTTGCTAGACTACGCCCTGAACGTTTACGCCCGAGGTACAGCGCGTCTGTGCTGGAGGAGACGGCGTAGAGTTTGCATAGCACAGCAAGATAGAATCGGTGCGTTAAGAGTCCAAGCCTCGTGGAGGTGCAGGCGGTTTGCAATATACAAAGGCTGACTGACCTGAGCCATTGCAGTGACAATGGCAGGACATGCATTAGTCCATGGTGCAGACAGCCTGTAGAGAAACGAGGAGAGAGGGAAGGGATCCGTGTTACCCGACTGGAAGATGCGATGAACATGCGACTCCATCTGAAGAGTCTCCAATGAGACGCCCATCGTGCAAAAGTTGCGGGGAAGCTAAGGAACTCTGCTCGAAGAGAATAACTTGAGCAATAGACTGTCGCCGTACAGGTCTAGGAGAGGTGTACTCCCGAGTCATTACGGACGGACGAGAGTCGAGACAGCATTAGGCAAAGTGAAGGCGCGGATGATGACGGATCCGAGCGAACAACCAGGCTCGGTCATACGATCATGTACGATTGATTTAGAGTGACATTTTGAGAACGTGCAGACTGCACAGCGCGCTATGCGAGTAGTCCGCAGGAAACAAGGATGAGTCGCTTTCAGTTCAAGTTGCAATTGCTTTCAAACGTTTAAATTAGCCGAGGCGATGTTTGGCTTTGGGCGTCGACACCAAACAACGCCTACGAACTTACCTCCTCGGACTATGCATAAATCAAAACTTCCTACCATGCATATACCACACAGCGTCTCCATTTGCTACCCGTTTCCTCTCAGCGTGTCTCAACAAGCTGCCTCTGTAGCTTCGACCTCGGGTGCCAGTCTTGCCTAAGTCTGACAATGTACAGCGCTCACCAGGTACAAATACAGCTACACCAACATATTTGTGGCTTGAGGACGCCTGCAAAAAGCGAACAGAAAGATCAATTGAATTCAGCGTATCGAATGCAGGCCAGACATGACAAGAGCTCGACGGCACACCTGCGAAGCAAACGGCACCGCTCAGATCTGCTAGAAGCACCCTCGAGCCAAACCCCTCAGGCCTCTCCACCCCCCACCCCTGGCCGCCGCCGCAATAGGCCGTCTCCAGGCTCACCTGCTACGAGGCGTAAAGGTGCCGTTCCCTCAAAGGCGGGCCGATCGAGAAGTTCCCCCGCGCCCGCGACGCTCACTTTCCCGCTCATGCACGTCCACTCCAGCAGCCCGCGCCCGGAAGTTGAACTGGTCGAGCCCGGCGTAGCAGTCGGTGCTCTGCGGGTCCCTTGTCAAAGACATGCTCGAAGGCTGGAGGGGAGTCAGCATATGGGCGGGTGGCAAAAGGAAGATACATACCAGTGCAGGGCACAGACTCGAGGAAGCCTAAGGCCCACTTTTGCACATCCAGGCTACCGCGCTATGATCGATTGTACGCGCGGGACATGATCGTAGGTAGACCCCGATGCGAAGGAGGCGGCGGGTCGTCCTCTGGGGAAGTCGGGATTGTAGCATGACAAGCCTATGCCGCAAAGGTCAGTGAGTCGAAACTTCCAGAGCCTCAAAGGGTGATTTCTCAGCAGCCGGGCGGCTTGACTTCGAGTTGCAGACTTGGTACCACGCGCCCTTCGAGTCCAAGACAAAACTCCTCGGCAGCCTGAGCACGGAGTACGGAGTCCAGAATGCGCACGTCCACGGCAACTTCGAGGCGCCTGCATTCATATTAATATTGGAATTTGGAGACGGCTGGACCGTGACGCTGGAGTGAGAAGGAGGTGAAAGGTGCGTGCCCGCGTGCCCGAAGTCACTCGCCACGGCGTGGCAAAGTTGCGAGGGTGCTGCTCAGAGCGCTAAGTAGAGTAGACGTGACGGGTGGAATTCGAGATTCGCCGCTCCGCTCCTCCTCCAGACTCCAGACTAAATGCGTCGGCGCAGGAAAGGAGGCCCACAGCGGATGGGCGGTCGTTGTGGGCACTCGGCAAGAGGCCAGTCTGAGATACAGTGCTAGTACGCCAGCACGGCGGAGGCGGCGTGGCCTTTCTGGAACAGCAGCGCGCGGCTTGTATCAGTACTAGTGTCATGCTACTGGTGAAATGAACTTGATGCCAGTGAAAGGGGCTTACTGCCAGTACTGAGAAAGATGTCGTTGAGTGACTCAGACTCAGCGTTTGAGTGCCGTGCCCGTAATAACTTTGAGTACCTGCGTATATCCGACTCATTAGTAGCAGACTACTCATCTAATTCCTGATTCCTGAGCCCTCGTTGACTGAGGCGATTGTACATGTGGACACGAGCAATGCAGGTTCGGAACACGACACGATGCGATGCGATGCGATTTCGGGGACGGTTGGTTTTCTACATACACACAGCTCCCTCTTCCCCTTCCCCTCCTCTCTCCTTGGCACAATCTTCCAGCCCAGCCAGAGTTTACGCGGCCCAGACGCGCGCGATGAGCTCGGTGAGACCTGTCGCAGAGCATATATCAGCATACATGCACCAAAGGAGCAGACGAGAGCAGCGGGTATCACAGAACATATATAGGTATGGAAAGATGTTGGAAAAGCAGCTGAAAATAGTTGAGAGGGTAAGGAAAGATCAGTGCACATCGGAGGGATGACCGCCAAAGCCCTGAAAGTATGGAGCGCGCAACATACAGAATGCGAAGAGTATAGGCTCGAAGTTTATGGAGCGGCAGAGGTATAGAGTGCAAAATATTCGGCGCACGAGATATATAAGGCTCAAAACCTATAGAGCGCCAGGCAAGAGCAGGCCAGCGAAGGCAATGTCAAGCGGCCTGCAGGGGTTCAAGAAGCACCGTCACACGAGCCGCGACGAGAGCGGCGCGTCTACCGTCATCGACGACGAGGGAGCTTCAACGACAGACGCATCTCACTGCGAAAAACGTTCATCCACGAGAACGTCTCACCGATGAGCAAATGTTACCCCGCGAGGAAGGATCGATCGACAAGTGCTCAACGGCAAAAGCGTCTCGCCTCGAGAAGGCATCCCCACGATGAGGCATGCCCGCGAGGACGTCTCCTCCCCTCGAAGATGGCTCTGCACCGCGCGAGTGCATCGATTCGCGAGAATGTCCGCCGACAAATGCATATGGACGAACACCGTCGTCGAGCACGAGAACGCACACGCGACGAGGACACTCCGCCATCGCGAAAATCTGCGCACTACCACCCACAGCGCGCAACTTAACCCAAGCACATTCTTCGGATTGAAGTACGCTCTTCCAGCCCCAGTACGACGCAAGCCAGGCCAAAAAAAAGACCACAATCAAGGTATGAAGAAATACTCACCGACATCCTCAGTATTGACCTGGTACACGCCAACGAGAACGACAGCAGTCGTAGCGCGGAGGATCCACGGGCTCGCACGGCCCAGAACAGGGAACTTGCGCGGGTGCACATAGTCCACCAGCAGCGAATCAAACTACACCCCCTCCCTGTCATCAGCACACCATTCCCTCTCTTTTAGTCCGATCGAAAAACAAAAACACGCAC